TAGTCCTTTGCTTTTGAAACGTGTGGTTTTCAAATATTTCCTTCATTTTATAGTTTATATTTCCATCATATTCATATAGTATTTCATGAAGAAAAAGTTTTAAAAGTTTGAATCAGTCTAATTAATCAATTTTCCATTTTGTGAATCATCCATTTGGTTTTAAGATAGAATTCTGCATTGTCTTGTTTTTTTTTTCTATTAAGTTTTATCTTTATGATTTACAGCTAAGTCTATGATCCATTTTGAGGATTTAATATTCATTTATTTTATGAAATACAGGCAGTTTTCTTTTCCCCCTTATCTACAGATGCAGTAATGAATGCCTACATTCAGCTCACTTCTCTTGTACCCAGTCCATGGAATGGTGTCCACCCACATTTACGGCAGGTATTCTCACCTCAGTTAATCTAATCTAGAGATCCCCCAGAGTCATGTCTAGAGATCTGCTTCCGTGGTGGTGACTCTAAGTCCCACCAGTCAATCAAGACTAAGAACCATGCCGTGCTTCCTCCATTGGAATGGTTGTTGCACGTCTATCAAATATCACTTCAAGTGCTGTGGCGATGGCCCACAGGGTAAGGGCTTGCTGTGTAAATATGAAAACTGATCCGAATTACCCATTTAGAATTCAATATTGTGGTATCTGAAACCTGACTGCCGGAGTGGGTGGGGTGAGACAGGCGGATCACAGAGTCTCACTGGCTAGTTTGTCTATCAGGTCCAGTAAGACCCAGGTTCCCTGAGAAACCTTGATCCCCACCACCACCCCTCGTGCTAATAAGATGGGAACAACAGAGAAAGACACTCAGTGTTGACCTCTGATCTCCACATGTGCCTTCAGCGGTGAGTGCACCTGTACACGTATGCACAAGCCCCCTCCCTTGCCACTGAATAAATAAAATCAATTCAGTAGATGGGCTATTTCTGCGCTCTATATATTTCTCATTGATCTATGTGTCTATTTATCCATTACAATCACACTATCTTGATTACTTCAGCTATCAGTCAGCCTTACTCCTGGATAGAGATTCTTCATAGTTTATCTTTGTCAACATTGTTTTAGCTACTCTAGGATTTGTGGGGTTTTTTTTTTCCAATGAACTTCAGAATGTTCTTGTCTACATTTGATTCAAAACACTCGTGAGATTTTAGTAGTAAATTTTATAAACATACAGATCAATTCAGGGAGACTTGACATCTTAAATATGTTGAGTATTCTAATCCATGAACATAGTATATCCCTCCATCTGTTAGTGTCTTTGGGTTCTTTCTTCAATGTTTTATAATTTTAAGCATACAGAATCTATATGTGCTTTTAAAAGATATTTCTGATTATTTCATTGTATTCATGGTACTGTTGTTTTATAAAATTTGGTTTCTCTACATTCATTTTTGGTCTATCACTATGTGGTTTTTGTGTATTGATTCTTCTTATACAAACTTGATGAATCCATATATTAGTTCTAACAGCTCTCTCTTAGATTCTTTGGGCTTCTGCACTTATCATCATGTCATCTACAAAGAGAGACTGATGTTTCTATTTCCTCCTTTCTAATTAATCTGTGTGTCCATTTATGTTCATGTTCATGTTCTAGTCAGAGGCCAGCACTCCCATTACTATGTGATGAACACACAGCATGAAAGTAGAATTTGATTTTGTTCTATATCCTAGAGGTTAAACGTTCAATCTTTTGACATCAGGCTGTAGGCATTTTGTAGATCATCTTTATTAAATTTAGATAATTATTCTCTATTCACTCTAATGGGTACTGGAATTTATCAAATATTTTCCAAGAAAAAAATGCATCAATTACTATAATCACATGAGTTTCCTTATTTAGTCCATTGACATATTGAATTCTCTTGATTGATTTTTAACATATTGAGCTAGCTTTATTTATATACCTCAAAGTTCCTTGATCTTATTTTTTATATATTTCTGAATCAAAATTGTTTATAGTTTGAGAAATTTTGACTCTAGGTGTGTGATACTATCTGATAGTTCTCTTTTTTATTTTTTTGACCGGTTTGGTATCAGTGTGATACTGGTCATATAAGGTAACAAAGTGTTTCTCCCTCCTGTATTTTCTGGAAGAGACTGTGTAAAATTGGTGTTAATTTCCCTTTAAACACTCAGTAGAATTGCCTGTGGGCTCCAACACCATCCTGCAAATTCCGACACTGTAAGACTGACATGAAAGAGAAGCAGCCACTTCCTGAGGCAATGGTCATCAAGTAGAACATGACTAGGACCCCCTCCTTCTTCTTTGAGCAGGAGATAGCTACAAGCCCTACCAACACAGTGAAAGCTACCAGGGCGGTATACCACACACTAAGTGGCTTAAACAACCTCAGTTCACCACTTCATGTCAGCAATCAAAGTGTCTGGTGTGGGCTGGCCGCTTCTCGGTCCTCTGAGGGAGGGTCTGCTTCAGGCGTAAGTTACAGTTAGCTATTTTCTCCTGTGTCTTCTCACACTCCCTTCTCCTTGGATGTGTGTTCCTGTATTTAAGTTCCTTTCTTTAAGGTAGCAAGTGATTTTGAATTTTAAAGGAATTCATGGCTTCTTTTTTTATTGAATTATTTCTATAAAGACTATACCTCCAAAGAGTGTCCTATTTTAAGAGCTAGGACTCCAGCACACGGGGTGTGTGTTATTGTTTGTTCCTTTGATGTTCTTGTTTCACTTTAGGGTGGGGAAACAGATTCCAACTCATCATACTCTCTAAAGTTAAGCAGTAATGAGCAAAACCAGAAATACTGGCGTTTTGTTCCTTGAGTTCATGATTTGCCCTTGAAACTGCCAGCCTCCCTATGCTACTTGAACGTGAGAGAGAAACCCCCACCTGCCCCAAAGTCTGTTTTCTACCTGTCTGGATCCCATCAATTCCAATGTTTTAAGATGGACTCTGGATATGTTATCAAGCTCCCCAAATTGGAACTTATGAGAATGGAGGGCATAGTTTCATCAGGGCTACAACAGTCAGGAAAAAAAAAAGAGGCACACATAGTTGAGGAATGGTACAATTTGCTCCCAGCTGAGGGCAAGCTGGAAGACACAGCTATCTCAACAAGGACCCCCAGTGACCAAGGGACTATGTGGGCAGGGTGGCGGCGGCAGTGGGGGGGAGGCGGTGGGGGGGGGGGAGCCCAGCTGTGACTCGAAGAAACAGCTGATCTAGCAGGCACCAACTAAGAAGAGTACTGCCATTTTGGCAAGGCCAAATGAAGGCATCCCCACGCCTTCGTCCTCACCATGTTCCCATCTCCTGAGCTAAATGGCAGGCTGAGGCAGAGCAGAGTGACAGTGGCTGTGCCCAGCTCTACGCTGAGCTCCAGGGGCCGTGGAGCTAAATCTTCATTTAGATCAATGAGATGGAAGTTTTACAGATAGAACTCCATCTTCCTCATCAAAGAGTCCTGAACAAACGAAGGTGAGAAGGTGTGGGTTGAGACCAGTGTTGAAGGAACAACTGCCTAGCAGGAAACAGTAGTGTGATAGATCAAAACAGAGGAAAATGGGGAAGGGGGCGCGTGGGGGGGGGGGGCAGGAATAACCTGATGTCAGCCTTGGTCCTCACTGAGTTAGAGGGTCAAGACGTTAAAAACTGCACCTGTGCCATGCACTAGTTCCTGCTGTGCCACCCAGCATCCCATGACAGAAACTTTCCCCTGTCATCAGGTTATACAACTATGCAATTTAAACTACTAAGGTAACGACAGACATTAGGAATGAGATGTAATTCAAACCATTACTCGGGTTATTTGCTTTCTAACTGAGACACCAGTTTTTAGCCTAACACTAACATATTCTTAACATGAAAACACAAGCATACACATGCTTCTGCAAACAATTATAATTGTCGTTATAATAAATAAGTAGAAATGGAAAGTGATTTTTCACTATTATAAGCATGTATCTTATATCACGGTGTGGTGAGCATGGATTAGGGGGAATTAGTTTAATGAAGTTAAATTCATTACTAGGCAAAAGCATGGTTGCATTTAGCTTTAAATTCAGAACTTATTTATCTGCAGCACATATTTGTTTCCAGCTGTGGTCAATGTGGATCAGGGTACAGCATACAAAATCAATACACCAACAGCTGACACTCCTGCATCGTCGCATTTTATGTCGAAGCCACGTGATATGAACGAACACTTGCCAGGTGGGTTGGAGAGCCGTTCTACCTCATTTGGAGGGGCGGGGGCCTCTTTGATGGCCAAAGAAGAAAGCCCCCCTTGAGTGGAGAAAACCTTCTCTAGAGATAACAATAAAACTCAATTCTCACTCATTCTGGCAGACGAAGCCAGCACTGAGCCGTGCTAGGGAGGAGGAAAGGTTGTCCAAGGATAAGGGGAAGAACGTGAAAGGCAGTCCAAACATGAGGGCAGATGCTGGGCTGAAAACTCAAGCTCTACTTCTGCCTGCTCCTGGCGAAAGGGTGAGAGGTGGGAGCTCAGAGGAGAGGCGGGATGGTTGGATGGAGCCTGTCCCAGCTGTCAGCTCCACCACAGTACTGCAGGCAGCCCGCCAAAAGAGGAAGACAAGCCTAGTGCGCTGGGCTGATGCTTGCTGACGGAATTGTGGGATGTCACAAATAAAGCTGTAGCTTTTTTTTTAATGCCATTAAGTAGGATATCACCCAATAGGAAGTAGACAAAGAAAGCCTAATTTTGAAGAGGGAGGAAATCCTGGCTATCACTGATCGATTTTAAACACAAATTCAAAAGCTCACCCAATTTGGGGAAACAGTAAGTCCAATGTCCTAGGCACCAGTGTGTGTGTGTGTGTGTGTGTGTGTGTGTGTGTGTGTGTGTGTGTGTGTGTGTAAACTCTCTGAGAGTGCACAAACATCTTCCTGGATTTCACCTCTAGAGAAACAGCCTACCTTGTGGTAGTGGTTTTAAGATGACCAATACCTTGCTCTAAAACCTTCATTTTCTGTAACAGAACCAGTTTTCCAAAAAGGCAGAGGGGCACGGAGCCTGCTTCCTACCTGTGCTGGTGTTCGTGCCGGGGCAAGGGCAAGGGCTGGCAAGCGGTGGCCCTGAGCCCTGGGCTGGAGGCGGAGGCTGCCCATCATTCAGCTGCTTGACCCGCTTCCGATGGGATTTGCCGTCATAATGGACCTGGGCCTGGGCCGCAGAGTTGAGCTGGATGTTGCACACATCACAAAAGGAGAAGAGAATCTTCTTTTTCTCTTTACTGAACTGGTCCCCAGGCCTGTCGCTCTTTAGCCCCTTTTCTTCAAAGCCCCGGAGGAAGGTTGCCATATTCATAATTCCATCTTCACAATGGTTGTCAGGGCTTTAAGGAGTACTTCATAACTGAAGAGAAAAAAAAAACCACAAGGTCCTATAAATTTGTATGTGCTCTCTTACCTTCCAGTGCTTTTATAGTTCACTTTTAATGGTTGAGTTCAGCAGATACGGTCTTCAACACATCTGAAGCATTTTCTATCTCCCTCTGCCCCTGTTCTATCACCCCCCTCCTTATCACCTCTCACTCCTTCTGTCCTTCTAACTCCTGCCTACCCAAAAGATCTTAGCTAGCAGGAGTCTTCTCCAGGGAACCCATTCTGAGCTCAGAGTAAGGACAGGGCTTGGTCATGTGTACACAGAGGCCTGTATGGTTGTCCTCCACAACACAGATCACATTATAAATTCCATGTCTAGGAATGTATTTATCTTATGTCTGTTTCCTCCACTAAGTATAATCCCTTTGAGGACAGCAGCCTCATCTCTGGGTCCATCTTAGGCCCAGAACTGAACATAGGAGGCATGTAAATATCTGTTCAAATGGAGAAGGAATGTTTGAAACCCCAACTGTTCCAAATAACCTGTTAAGACAAAAATGAACATAAAGTATAAAGTACACACACACACACACACACACACACACACACACACACACACACACACACACACTGAACTCATGCAAACAGACACATGCCAGAACTAGGGTGGACAAAGATTAAAACACAGTATGGCCACAACTTACACTGAATTATGTTCTAAAAGCCCCTTTACAAGCCAGCCATCTGGAATTTGCACATATTTCCTTGTAGATGTAGTGAAACAAACTGTTTGTAAATTTCCAGATTAGCCCATAAATATCAATGTAATCTTCGATAAGCTTGAAATGTAGAGCATCTGAAATAGAAAAAATACAGAAATACAATATTATAGTCAATGGGTACATATGTTAAAATAGTAAAACAGACTCTGACATAATTATATTTTTAGACGCTGATCTTTTCTTTCACTTGTTAGACAACAGAATCAAGAAGCATGATGCCCCTCCTAACGGATTTAAAAAGGAACTTTTCAGTACCTTCCTTGAGACCCTCAGTGAGCAAAGGTTACCTCGCCTTTTTATTTATTTATGGCTCAGGTCTGCTTGTGAACAGGTTAAGTGTTCATTTCCACTGAGCCCAGAGTGACTGGCTTTTTCATGCCATCCGCATCAGTGTTTTGTTTCGTGGGTTGGATGAGGAGAAAGTCACTCTTGGAGAAGACAAGGTCTATGCGGACAGAGTGGCAAGTACTGCAGTCCCACACTCCAGGGACTAAGAAAGGAGAATTTCAAGTTCAGGCCACGATGGACACCAAACCTCCTCTCAAAAAACAAAAAAGGGAAAGAAAAACAAGGACAAGCAACTGGCCAAGAAGGACAAAAAAGCCATATAAAAGAATCTTCGGGACCCACACTGACTTGTGATGAGTTTCTGTGTTCGGAATAAACCCAGGGGATTAAAACATATTATCGGCTTTGAGCGACTGTTTCATCCAAGCTGGCTTTGGGCTCTCTGGAAAGGAAGGAGAAATGAAACACAGGTTCACAAGTGGGTGTTCCCAAGATAAATAATGAAAATTCTGATAGGGTGTGACTACAAAGATGGGTGTTGATTCTACATGCAGTACGCCAAATCTATCTTCATTTTACCCATGTACCCAGCTGTGAGGACAGGTCACATCTCCTTACTTGGTGCATAAAAGATACTCAGCCCACACAGTATCCTACCTGGGCCACCATTTTTAAGGGACTCTCTTCCTTTCAGCTTAATCAGTTCTCTCCCTTTAAATCTACACAAGCAGGCTGGTGAGACGACTCAGCAAGCAAAGGCCCTTGATGCCAAGCCTGACAACCTGGGTTCGATTCCCAGGACCTACATGTCGGAAAGACAGAACTGACTCCCACCTCCACACATGAGATGTGACATGTCTCTCCTATAACCAAAAAATAAATAACAAGTAAGCAATTTCCATAGCTAAGCTGGAAAAAAATTATTAAAATGTGGTCTGAATTCCACATATATAAACATTTTTGTTTTCATACTTCAAATCCAAAACCTTGTCACACTTCAGGACGTCAGTGACATATGAAAGTTACATTCAAACATGACCATAGCCTTGTCTCCAAATATCCAAAGGTAAGAACTGCTGAACAAGTTAAATTGATAAACAGTTTGTAATGAGCTAATCAATGTTGCACCCCAGTGAGAACACTAATCCACAGCAAAGAAGAAAACTAGGACCTGTGAGCCCCACAAAGCTAGACCAGTCACCAGACCTTACTGCATCACTGGATCCTACTCAAGCAATTAGTAAGACCCTTGAGTCCCCTAAAGGCTGTTGACACTTTCATCTGAAAATGTGACCCCTCTTAAGGCCTTGCCCATGTTGTAAATGAACATGGTGTTTCATAGAAGCAAGACGTCTGTCATATTATTCTCCCTTTAAATCTGGTAGAGAAACAATGACCTTTTTAAAGTTATTATTATAAAAGGTAAACCATCTGCCTCTGCTTTTGTGGCTACTGTAACTGGCCACAGAAAGAAGTTACACTTTACATTGGTTTACTTATGCATAGTCTAAGTAGGAAATCGGGAGCCTGGAAAGTTTGTGCCTTCTCTCAGAAGTACTCACCCAAGGGATCCTTCAAGCCCCAAAACTACATCTATGGGCCACTCTAGCAAGGGTATGATGCCTTAAATGATGTTCACCAGCTCCTAGGTATCAGTCTAAGATCTGATTTTATTCACCACATTTCCTTGGCTTCTTAGGGAAAATAAAGCTGGTACTCACTAACACCACTTGTAACCAGAGTATATTTAGTTCCAGCAGTCTTGGGAAAAGAACCTAGAGGTGACAAATATCAGTCTCAACATCCACATTGGGTCCAAAATGATATAATGCCCAGGCTTACACCATGTATAGATGACAGTGTTTGTAATGTCAACTTTCTACATAAGGGTAAGGTTAACAATTGATCTAAGTGGAAGAAGAGAGAAAAATCCCACTTGTTACTTTATTTTTTTTTTAATCAGACTATCTTAGATGTCATGTTTTGTATGCATGGGACAGACAGCCCTTAAGGGCTGCTGATTTTTGAGAGCAGTAAGCAGCATGCTGCTTTAGATTAACTAGAAGGTGTCTCTGGGGGACAGGACAAGGAGAAGCAATTTGACAAAGTGTTCTATGCTCTTCTTGTGTTGTTTTGTGAGATGGCCCGCACTTCAGCCTCCATGAGAGAAGAACATATTCTGATGCAAGTTAAAGAATGAGAAAGTGTGTCTGTGAGGAGGCCTTTGGGAAAATGAACTGAAGGGCCCAAATTGGATGATCAGCATGGGTCAGAATGAGTGATTTTAAATGACCAAGAGGTGAATGATGGGTTAAGCTTTTCTAAGGTAAAATCTTATCTTTATGACCAGTCCCATGTGCATAGCCATTCAGTGTTTTTTATAATAACTTGAAACGGGCTGGAGGCTGCTTCAGAGGCAAATGCTGCTCTCTGTGACACAGCATGGCCATGTCCCACTGATGGGGGAAATATCTTTCTGTATGCTGCGAATACGTGTTGCTCTGATTGGTTGGTAAATAAAGCCATTTGGCCTATGGCAAGGCAGCTTAGAGGCAGGAGGGAAATTCAAAGAGAGAGAGAGAGAGAGAGAGAGAGAGAGAGAGAGAGAGAGAGAGAGAGAGAGAGAGAGA